ATCCTTACAATCAAATACAAAACAAGATATGATGAATAGTCCATGAGTAACTTGAATAAGGACATGAATAGCTAAATCATGACAGAAGAAATACAAATGAACAGGTTGAGCCCTGGCCAGTGTTGCTACATGGTTAGAGTATCAGTGGGAGTACCGAAGGGTTGCAGGTTTGATTCCCCATCAAGGGCACGTATCTGAGTTTTGGGTTTGATCCCCAGTCCTGGTTGGAGGCAACTGGTAGGTTTTGTTTTTTTTCTCTCCCCCCCCTCTTTCTCCCTCATGCCCAGGGATGATCCCTTCCATCCTCTGGGGGGGAAAAATCAACAAAAAAATACCCTTGGGTGAGGATTAACAACAACAACAAAAGTAAGTTAAAAAAATGTTCTATCTTCCTAGTAAACAAAGAAATATAAATTAAAATGAGATATCCTTCAAACTAGATAATGTCTTTTTAATGATGATATTTACTCTTGGCCACAGTAAAGAAAACTGTATGCTAACATAATGTGGAGAGTGAAAATAAAAATTGGAAAACAATCTAAATGCCCAGTAAAATAGAACGAATTAAGCAAATTGAAACATTGACATGACAGAATGTTACATGGCCATTTAAAATCACTTTCTCAAATAATACAAATATGAGACTATGTTTGTGTCTTACTGTTAAGAATGTTGGAAAGAAAATGTACCATTATTCTGTTTTGGCATATATAAACTGCCACCCAAGAGGTGCTTCTCCTTATTCCTACCCTTCCCCCATGCAGGAAGGGTCCACATTGGAGCCACTACTACAGTCCAGGAGCCTACAAAAAAAGTATGTACCACATCCTGTCTTGGTGTATACGTATATATGTATATGTGTGTGTGTATATATATAAAGTAAGTACAGTAAAATATAAACAGCAGTCATCTCCAGGTTTGAAGATCATAGATGATTTTGTTTTTTATATTTCTGTTTTGGTAAATCCAGTTTACTTTGATAATCAGAAAGGGCCATCGGAAAATTATTTCCCAAGAGAGTGGGTTTGGATCTCCTAGTTCTCTCCTGCATTCTATCATAAAGGATAGCTGGCTCTGAGAGAGGACAAAGCCTCCATTCCTACCGGATGTGAGGGCTTTCCCCTCATTTGAGACATGTTTTCATAAAGAAAAAATAGTTTACATTGCTCATTAGTCCACTCACCTTCCCTTAAACCTTTGTGATAACATTTGCAAATATGTTCTCCCATACAGTGGGCTTTCTTATTGTTTTGTTGATGGTTTCTGTTGCTGTGACAAAAACTTTTTATTTTTATTTTTAAAAAATATATATTTTAGCCGAAGCCGGTTTGGCTCAGTGGTAGAGTGTTGGTCTGCAGACTGAAAGGTCCCAGGTTTGATTCCGGGCAAGGGCATGTACATTGGTTGCGGGCACATCCCCGGTAGGGTGTGTGCAAGAGGCAGCTGGTCGACTCTCAAAGGGATGCAGAGGCACACATCACTCGTCTGTTGTTGCTTACTGTGACACCTGAGAGATGCTTCTCCCCATCCCTACACTTTTGCACATGCTCCTGCAGAGGTCCCCATAACAAGGGTCAGGATTGGAACCACCGTTAACATCTGAGATAAACAGGGGTGGAAGTGTTAATGGCAAGGGGCTCTATGGAGGTGGGGTGGAGAACCTACCAGCCACCACATGCTGCTCTGTTTCCTGCCTCTCTATCTCTGCTGGTTTCACCAGGCTGACAAATCTAGGAGCTGTTGTCCACAATCTTCTTCCAAGATCTTCTTTTTGAGCACCAACACTCCACAGTGACCAAGCCTGCCTGACTCTTTTGTCATCTCTGCCCACTTTCCTCTCCTGCACTGCCTCTATGACTCAGAATCCTTACATTATAATCAGTTTTATTGGTGCAGATCACTTCTGTGCTCTGCTCCATTGCTGCCCTTGTACCCAGCAGATAGCCATACATCTCCATTTGCCTCAGGGAAAATTTCTTGTTAGCAGACTGTCTAAGCCTGGCTGTTTTCCAGAGTCCTGAGCACCTTGCTGGATTTGTGCACAGGAAGGAGGGGACAGTGCCTTAGAAAACAGAAATGCAGGAGAAAATTTCTACCAAGAGGGACAGAGCCCTCAGGGAAATGGTGCACATAGGAAGGCTGGACATCAGATATGCAGGACATCAAGGCTGGACATCATTAGGTCTCCTAGCCTAGGCAGAAGCCCTTCATTAATGAATGAGATTGACCTTTCACCTTAGTGGGATAGAGGGAAGATGCAGATTTAAGCTGCAGCCTTTGAGCAAACCTGCCCTGAGATGCACACTACGCAGAGAACACAGCAGGAAAGTGCACATGCTTTATTTCTAATTAGAATCAGAGAAACCTCTACAAAGGGTGAGCTTAGAGAACTGGGCAGATCTCAGGGGGGAAACTCTAGGACATCTTTTGTTCAAACAGGAGGCTGATCTAACTCCTCCCTGCCCCCACCCCCCGCTCCACCTTGGCTGCCTTGCAGCAGCTGCCTCAGGAGTGGAGAGCCTGTCCAGAATGCACCAAGTGGAAGGAGCGTTCTCAAGAGTGCCTGTCCCACCCAGTGCAGGCTATTTTTAATCAAGTTAGCCTTCCCAAGAGAAGCGCAATGTCTGTCCTTAGAATTCCTTTTGCTCTTCATCGACTCTTGACTGGAAGGGGACTTACGATGAAAGTGGCTGAGGCTCAGGGCTTGAGTGTATAGCCAACACTCCTGCCCTTCTTTAAGACAGTCACCCAGTGTCCTTTCAGGCAACCAAGACAGCTGTGCCTCGGGAGGAAATCAGCAGAATACTAGAAAAGTCCTGCTTACATTCTTGTGAGGCCGTTTTTCTGATCTTTGCCACTGCCCATTCGTCTCCATTGGGATTAATATGATGAGTGGTTCAGTCACTCAAGTGCTTCTATGAAAGTCTCTGATTTTGTCCTCAAAATCGGAGAGATGGATCTTGACATTATTTCTGTTGGATTCACCCAAAAGCCACAGTACATGCTAGACAAAGAACACACCCCTGGTTATACTGTATCTCAAATTAGGCTCTCTCCTATCATCTAATCAAACTCATCCAACTGGGAAATAATGGGTACATAACATATAATTGTAGTTCCTTACAAATATTAGACAACTATTTGTTCAATGAATTAAAGAATAAAACTCAATAAAATTGCTATAATCTCTAAAATTTAATACTTCTCTCCCAATCCTCTTTGAACTGTGCTGTTAATCTATTTTCACCAACAGAAGGATTAAGTTCTAACAAAATCTATTTGCTCTCCTTTGTTCTAAGATGTGTGCCAGAATATCTCCTATTCCCTGACCGCTTCACATTGTTTTTATCTCCAGCCAGCTGAGGTGTCACTGAGGCTGCTTGCTGAGAGGCAGGAGGGTTACTTCGTGAGGGTTCACGCACTGGGAGCCAGAGCTTCTTCAGCTTCACACAAGTTGCTGGAGCTTAGAGACACAAAGAACAGGCCCTCATATATGGATATTATAAAAACCAAATCAAGAAACAAATATGAATGCTATTGTAGTTAACAGCGTAATAATCACATTTTCAAGGAAAAGCATTGTTCCTGGAATATACTGTATTTTATTTTCTAAAAGCATCATTATTCTCAGCCAAATACCTGGTATTATGGGAAAGAGGAGGTTACGGAGAATACAGAAAGGAGAAAAAGAGAATGTTTCAACATGTCAGCCTCCACAGGGTGTCAACCAATTGGTAGCAACGCCTATGAACTTAAATGCAATTGGAAAAATTTTCCTTTAAAAGATTAATAAATATTCCTCAAAGAAATTACAAATGGGACTGCCTTTTGATCCAGCAATCCCACTTCTGGAAATATAAACCTAAGAATCCCCCAAACACCAATTCGAATGAATAAATGCACCTCTATGTTCATAGCAGCATTACTTACAATAGCCAAGATCTGGAAACAGCCACAATGCCCATCAGTAAATGAGTGAACAAAAAAGCTGTGGTACATTTATCCAATGGAATACCATGCAGCTGTAAGAAAGGAAATCTTACCTTTTGCAACAGCATGGATGGGCCTGGAGATTATTGTGCTAAATGAAATACTAAGCCAGTCAGAGAAAGACAAATACAATATGATCACACTTATATGTGGAATCTAACAAACAAAATAATCTGACAAACAAAATAAAAACAGAGCCCTGGCCAGTGTGACTCGGTTGGTTGGGCATAACCCTGTGCACAACAGGGTTGCTGGTTCAATTCCTGGTCAGGGCATATGCCCCAGTTTCTCGCTCAATCCCCAGTGGGAGATGTACAGGAGGCATCCAATTGATGTTCCACTCCCCAATCGATATTTCTCTTTCCCTCTCCTTTCCTCTCTCTCTAAAAATAAAAATGATATATATTTTAAAATATTGTAATTAAAAAAATAGAAACAGAGGCATGGATACATGGAACGGACTGACAGCTGTCAGAAAAGAGGGGGTGTGGAGACTGGACGAAAGAAGGTAAATGATTAATCACAGAACATATAGGCAGAACCCATAGACACAGACAACAGTGTGGCCAGAGGGAAGGGGGGGACAGGGACTGGGTAGAAGTGAGCAAAAAAGGGGAAATGGGGACATCTATAATAGTATCTATAATAAAAGTAAAAAAATGATTAATGAACATATTCAATAGAATCTTATCTTTCTTTAAAACAATACATACTATATACACATATATACATACATGTATAATATGAAATTGGGGGAAAGAGACCAACATGTGGAAATAGATATATTAATGTTAAAATGGTTATTGCTTAATGGTAGGAAAATAACAATTTTTATTTGCTACATTTTAAAATTTTCTATGATGTAAATAAAAGTTTTGTTTTTATTTTATCAGAAGGAAGCTTCTAGAAATCGCTTTCTCTTTGGAGTATGTGTTCATTCTTTCCCACATCCCCGCTTGTTTTGTGCCAAATTTATCTCAAGCAAAGTGTCTGGAAAAATTATTCACACTCTATACCACAGACAGTCCCAATACCCACTCCTGAGGTCTGGGTTTCTCCTCTTGCTGGGATTCAAAGACTTTCTTACCTTTTAGTAGACTGGTCACCTGTGCCTGAGGTTGCTGCTTCTCTGAGGTTCTATCTCTGCTCCAGCTCTGCTCTGACGGGTTTATGAAGTGGGACTTCACAGGACCATTCTTTTGGCCTTGGCTCTCCTTGTCACACTGCAGGGCTTTCTTCTTCTTGGACCCAACTGCAAGGTACCTGCCAGGTGGGTCGGTCACCCCAGTAGGCATCTGGGGGCCTAGGAGGCCTGGCACGTAAAGCACACCTGGTATCTTCTCCCTCTGGGGATCAGCACCCAAACTACGCTGCCTCACTTTGACTACTACCTGGCTCTGCTCCCCTACATTCAGAGGCTGCGTATCATACCAGAGCCTTTGAGCTAGAGGCTTGGGTACGACCGGCTGACTTCGTTTCTCAGCCAATTGCAGCTGCCATCGCATGGCTTCGCGCTGGCCTACCGTCCATTGCAGGTCTTTCTGAGCCCGACCGCACTGCCACACCAGCCAGTCGCGCTCCCTGAGCAGCCGCTGCAGCTCGGAAGCCATAATCCTGGCGGAGGTCTCCTGCTCCTCTATTTGCTCCTGCAGCCGCCAGACCCTGCGGGCGTAGTCATCGCGCTGCCTCTCAGCTGCACGCACACCCAGGGCCAAGGCGCTCCAGGCGAAAGCCCTCTTGCTGGTGTCCGGGACCTGAGGGTTAATCACAATGCTTCGCAGCTTGTCCTCTATCTCGTACCAGGGCCGCGTGCTGAATGTCGAGTAAAAGTCCGGGCCGCCGCCGTTTTGGAGCACCTCTTCGTTGATGAACCGAACTATCTCGCTGTAGCGGAAACCGCTCTGGGAGTCCCCTGTGGATATTGCCATGGCGGCCCAGTCAGCAAACCGCCCCCCGCCGCTGCTGTAGAAAGCAGTGGCCACCTACCTATTGGCCCCACTTCAGTCCTTGCCCAGTCCTGGCCTCCTCCTTGGCCTCTTTCCTTGTTCACCCACTTGTTCCAGCGAAGAGTGAGGCCAATCTTCTTCGTAACGGGGTAGCGCCGCACAGATTTGAGCTGAGTTATGTGGAAAAGCCGGTCGCTAGCCACGGGCCTTGGCAGTGCGCAGGTGCTCTGAGCTCTGAGGGGAGGCTGGGAGGCCGGGTGGGGGCGCTACTTTTCTTGGTACAACGCCTCCTTCAGGGCAAGCCTGCTGGGACACTGTGCGGGAGGGGGGGGGGGAAGGAGGCAGGGGGGGAGGGAGGCGGGGGGGGGCGGACACACTTCAATGAGCCCAGAGCGGACTGGATTCTTGTTTCAGAGAATTTCTGAGTTTTTGACAGACAACACCCAGACACGTTGAATGAATTTCTAACCCGGGAGTAGGATAAGTAGCTGCAAGGGGTCACTCTGGTTCAGCTCCCCCTCCCATAACTCTCATTTGCTATATATATCAAATTTTCTTTCTATACGATCCCAAGCTGTCTGCACTCTTCCCTCCTCATCTGAAGCAGATCACCTTGAAGTTCCTCTCATTAAGAAAATACAGCCGAAACTGTTTGGCTCAGTGGTAGAGCGTCGGTCTGCGAACTAAAAGGTCCCGGGTTCGATTCTGGTCAAGGACATGTACATTAGTTGCGGGCACATCCCCGGTTTCTCTCTCATCGATGTTTCTAACTCTCTATCCCTCTCTCCTCTCTGTAAAAAATCAATAAAATATATTTAAAAAAAAAGAAAGAAAAAGAAAGAAAGAAAGAAAGAAAGAAAGAAAGAAAGAAAGAAAGAAAGAAAGAAAGAAAGAAAGAAAGAAAGAAAGAAAGAAAGAAAGAAAGAAAGAAAGAAAGAAAGAAAGAAGAAAGAAAGAAAGAAAGAAATCCAGCGCAGTGGTATTGCTCAGTGGTTGAACGTGAACCTATGAAACAGGAGGTCATAGTTTGATTCGCCTTCAGGGCACATGTCCAGATTGTGGGCTCGATCCCCAGTAGGGGGCGTGCGGGATGCTGCCAATCAATGATTCTCTCTCATCATTGAAGTTTCTATCTCTAGCTCTCCCTTCCTTTCTGAAATCAATAAAAAATATTTTTAAAAAAGAGAAAATCCAGCGATTTCTCAATGGTTAGAGATTGGCCTCTGCACAGAAGGCTCTCAAAAACATTAAAAAAAAAAAAAAGTTCATGAACAGGAGTGAGGTGGGGGCAATGGGAGGATAAGGACACATTTGTAATACCTTAATCAATTAAAAAAGGAAGTAGTCTACACTATGTCCACTTCATTGTGCTCCCTTCATCATTTAATCTGCTGCATTTTGTTTATTGACCCCTACCAAATTTAATAAAAATTCACTGATAAGGTTACCAGCAGTCCCTACTCCAGTACAAATCAACTGGATACTTTGAAAGTTATGTTTCACATGATATTTCTTTTTCTTTTCTTTTTTTAATATATTTTATTGATTTTTTACAGAGAGGAAGGGAGAGAGATAGAGAGCTAGAAAGGTTGATGAGAGAGAAACATCAACCAGCTGCCTCTTGCACACACCCTACTGGGAATGTGCCCGCAACCAATGTACATGCCCTTGACCGGAATCGAACCTGGGACCTTTCAGTCTGCAGACCGACGCTCTACCGCTGAGCCAAACCGGTTTCGGCTCACATGATGTTTCAATAGGTTTTTATTCTGTTGACCATTTCATCCTTGATATTCCATCCTGTATTGGTTTCTGTGAGACCACATTCTACTGATGTTCTTATTCCTCTGCCTTATCTTTCTCAATTTCATTGAACTACTTGTTCTTCTGCCCAGGGCTCCAAAGTTGGTGTTTCACCTGTTTTGTTCTCAGACCCCTTTCATTCTATATGCTCTTCTTGGATAAATATATTCACTCCCATCATTTAAAATACTACCTCTATCACAACTGTGCATTTACACATTAGAGTTTCTGTCTTTTAAAAATTTTATTTTTCGATTATAATTTACATTCAGTATTATTTTGTAATATTTTCAGGTGTACAGCATAATGATTAGACAATCATATACTTTATAAAGTGTTCCCCCATTATTTTCAGTTCCCACTTGGCACCATACACAATTATTATAATATTACTTGGGGCCCAGAACTGTGGGCCACGAGGCTGTGGTGGGCACAGGGGTGGGTCTCAGCCTATCCTCCATGCCCTGTCATGGCCTCTCCTGTCACAGCCCCCAGTTCCCTGTCTGCTGGCAGCCCTTCTCCTGCCACTGCCACTCCCATATTCTGATGCTGCCAGCTCTGCTCACACCTGCTGACAACACAGAGTGATTGTGACCAGCACCGGCAGCAGGTGTGAGAAGTAGCTGCCGGCTCTGATTGCCTCTCAGGAGTAGGGGGAGGTGAAGAAACCCTGAGAGGTGGTCAGGGCCAGCAGTCACCACTCAGACCCACTGATGGCATCAAGTGGTCAGGGATGGCACCAGGCACTGGCAGTGGGTGCGAGTGGGGCCGTGGCCGGCAGCAGGTGTGAGCACCAGACGAGACTGCAGCTTGTGGGAACAAAGAATTTTAAGTAACCCAATGACAGTGACCAGTACCCCGCCTTGGTCTGACACTCCTGCTCACCTGTTCCACCATCCTGCCATGGCTGACGCCTGCCATGTTCCATGCTCTGCAGCCTGCTGCTGATGCCCGCCATGTTCCAAGTGTGCCCTCTGGTTGTCAGCGCATGCCATAGCAACTGGTTATTCCGTTGTTTGGTTGTTCTGCCATTTGGTTTATTTGCATATTAGGGTTTTATACAGATAGATTGACTACATTTCCTGTGCTGTACTTTATATTTTTGCTTTCTTTCTTTTTCTGTTTTTGTTTGTTGTTAATTCTTACCCAAGGGTATTTTTCCATTGAGTTTTAGAGAGAGTGGAAGGGAGGGGGAGAGACAGAGAGAAACATTGATGTGAGAGAGACACATTGATTGGTTGCCTCCTATGTGCATCCCAACCGGAACCGGGGAACCTGCAACCAAGGTATGTGCCCTTGACCAGAATCGAACCTGGGACCCCTCAGTCCACTGGCCAGCACTCTATCCATTGAGCCAAATTGGCTTAGGCTATATTCTCACTTTGTTTTTTAAAAAAGTATTTCTATTGATTTCAGAGAAGGAAGAGGGAAATAGAGATTGAAACATCAATGATGAGAGAGAATCATTGATTGACTGCCTCCTGCACACCCCCTACTAGAGATCAAGCCCACAACCCGGGCATGTGCTCTTGGCTGAAATCAAACCCGGGACCTTTCAGTCTGCAGGCTGACGTTCTATCCACTGAGCAAAACCAACTAAGGCATATTTTCACTTTCTTGATGGTGTCCTTTGAAAACACAAAAGTTTTCAATTTTTTTTAAAAAAAATTCTTTATTAAGGTATCACATATTTGTCCTCAATCCCCCATTCCAATCCCCACCCTGACCCCCACTCTTGCCCCCATCCCCCTATTGTCCTTGACAACTGGTTAGGCTCATACGTATGCACGTAAGTCCTTTGGTTGATCTCTCCCTTTTGTCCCCACCCTCCCTTTGAGGTCCAACAGTCAATTTTGATGAAGTCAAATTTATCTATTTTTCTTTTTGTCACTTGTGCTTTTTGATATTATATTTAAGAAACTTTAAAGAAACTATTTTTAAAAATATATATATATTATTGATTTTGTACAGAGAGGAAAGGAGAGAGATAGAGAGCTAGATACATCGATGAGAGAGAGTCATCGATCAGCTGCCTCTTGCACACCCCCTACTGGGGATATGCCCACAACCAAGGTACATGCCCCCGACCAGAATCAAACCCGGGTCCCCTCAGTCCCCAAGCCGACGCTCTACCCACTGAGCCAAACCGGTTTTGGCTAAAGAAACTATTAGTTAATCCAAGGTCACAAAGATTTATGTCTATGATTTTTTTTTCTAAGAGTTTTATAGTTTTAGCTCTTACACTTACATTTTTGATCCATTTGGGTTAATTTTTGTATACAGTATAAAGCAGGAGTCCAAATTCTCTCTTTTCTTTCTATTTATTTATTTACTAGAGGCCTGCTGCACAAAGATTAGTGCAAGAATGGGTCTTCCTTCCCCTGGCTGCTGGCACCGCCTTTGCTCCAGTCAGAGCTGCCTTTACGTACTAGCCAGGAGTCACCTTTCTGCCTTCCCAAGCTGCTCAGAGGCCCAGAGCTGCTGGGGTGGGCCATCTTTGTTGGGTTAATTTGCATACTCACTCCTGATTAGCTGGTTGTCATGAAGCTATGGTCAATTTGCATCTTACTCTTTCATTAATGTAGATTTGTTTGTTTGTTTGTTTATTTATTTATTTATTTATTTTGCATGTGGATTGCCCCAGCACCATTTCTTAAGGACAGTATTCTTTGGCTATTGAATGGAGAAAGCACCATTTTCAAAAAGCAATTGGCCATAGTTGTGTGAGTTTATTTCTGGACTCTCAATTCCATTCCATTGATCTATATATCTACTCTTGTGACAGTACCATACTGTTTTAATTACTCTAGCATTGTAGTAAGTTGTTTGTTTGTTTGTTTCTTTAAATACATCACATGTCTTTTTTAAAAAAAACATATATTTTATTGATTTTACACAGAGATGAAGTGAGAGTGATAGAGTTAGAAACGTCGATGAGAGAGAAACATCGACCAGCTGCCTCTTGCACACCCCCCACTGGGCATGTGCCCACAACCAAGGTATCTGCCCTTGACCGGAATTGAACCTGGGACCTTTCAGTCCACAGGCCGATGCTCTATCCACTGAGCCAAACCAGTTTCGGCTGTAGTAAGTTTTGAAATTGAGATGTATGAGCCTTCTAAATTATATTTGTTCTTTTTTTCAAGATTATTTTGGCTTTTCTGGGTCTCTTGTATTTCTATATACATTTTAGGGTCACCTTGTCAATTTCTGAAGAAAATAGGAAGTTGGGACTTTGAAAGGATTATATTGACCTCATAGCCACAGAGCAGAGTATGCATGAAGATAAAATTTCCCAATCACTGGAGTTGGTTCAGTAGATGTTTCTAGTACTGTACAAGTTCCAAGGGGTCTACCCAACAGAACCTCCACTTAGTGGCTGTGTTATATATCTCCTGTTTGCTCTCCAGTTGCACTGTCCAACCTTCTCCACTCTCCTCTTTGGGAGGCTGTTATGTATGGACATCAATGAGCTTCCTTGTCCTTTGGCTTTTGGTTGGGTTTGGTGAATTTACCATCAGAGGCGATCAGAGAGAGGCAGAAAATTAAGTAGGATATTTATTTTTGTTACCCTCACTACAATCCCACCTTGAGCTACTTTAGCTCTTCAACAAGTCCCTACTTTTCTCAAGGTAGTCAATTGTACTCGACTCAGTCCTTCAAAGCTCTGGGAACCACTAGCCTTGGTTACTGTGCTATTCTCTGTGGTTCTCTACATCTACACATTTATAAGTAACCTCTTTATCAATAACCCCCTTTCCAAATATTCGATTTTATCAAATGTACTATTTCTTATAGGAACATTGACTGATACTATACCCATACAGGAGCCTGCAAGGAAGATTCAGCTGCTAGATTGAGAGCCTATTATATCCTTCTTAAACTTTTTGGATACCGCTATCAGCTTTTCTTCCCTCCTACCCTGAAACTAAATAACTTTGTGAAGTAGGCCAGGCTATTTAGTCTTCCAGCTCGTTTTCCCTTGCCCTGTACCTCCATCCATCCCATTCCTCCCCCACCTCTCAACACACACACACACACACACACACACACACACACACACACACACCTCTATTTTCTGCCTGCATAAAATCATAATGTAAATCACATTTCTGTATTATTTAGCAAAATTACTTTATCATGTTTGGATATTTTAAAAGGAAGTCAGTAAGGAAGATTACTCTAACAAAGAACCTAGATGGGAGAAATATATTGGGGTCACAGACCTCTCCCCAATGCAATTCTATTATTCATGTAGACCTTAGGCCAAGGCAGCTTCCAAGGAAAGAAGAGATTCCTACTGTATCCTAGTCTCTGAATCAAACAAGGGAGATAAATATTTCTGTCATGAATTGCAATTACCACTACAGATTTGCTCTGGGAGTCAGTTTCTGGCCAGATGTGCACTGAAGTCACATAGCCAATCTTTCCTCAAGCAATTAAAGTTTCTTTTGTACTTTGGTTCCTTCTCCCCACCTCAACTTTTGCTTAGTGTTCTTCTACACAAACACATAGAACAATTTGTACCTGGACTCAACTTTGATGAAGAAAGGAAGTTTACTCTGAGAAAGTAGTCTTCTGAGAAACCAGAGCATGGAGACTGCAAAATAAAAAATGCTCAGAATGAAACAACTTAGTTTCATCCTCTCGTGGCTAAAATCCAAGAGTTGAAAAAAGGTGGAGGGAGAGAAAGTATTAAATTAATGGGCTGTCAGTTGTCAAGTTTTCCACCTACATAGATGCCCAATATTCCAGTGGGAAAATCAGTGGTACAGTCTAGAAAGAGGAAATCATACACTTTTTAAAAATCTATTTATTGTTATCAACAAGTTACCAAGACAATACTAATATTTTCTACATGAAGATTCCCAGAAAATAATGCCTAAGAGGTTACTTTAGGAAAATGATTTCAGAGAGGGGAGGGTTGAAAATCACATGTCTAAGCATGGACAAAACCATGAAGGCATTTTGAAGTAGTATTTCTCATTGACAATCAAGTAAAACCAAGTGCATTGCAATAAATTGTATACAGATAAAACACTGGTATAGCACAATGTGGGGGACTATTTGAATTAATCAACTAGAAGTTATTGAACTGTTAAAATTCAATTTAATAATGATTACATTATAATATCCAATTCTGTATTAAAAAAGGTATTTGTTTATGTCCCAGCTGACAACCCAAACTATCCTAGTACTTTTCAACATTTATTTGAAACTGTGGAAACAATGGGTTTCATTGAATGAGAAATACTGTATGACAAAAGATTCATAATTCCTTGTTTGTTTAATAGTTAACATATTTAACAGGATAATGTATTATGTATAAACTATAGCACCAGTAATTGAATTCCTGTAAAATGTTAACTATTATAACTCAAATTTGACATACGTTTTAAAATGTTGGGGATATCATTCATTGGTTTTTAAAAAGATGGTACTTCCTGGTAAGCAGCAGCTCAGAGTAGAAAGAGCACTGGACCTGGAGTCAGATGCAATGCAGGTTGTTTTCCCTAAATGCTCTCTAATATCCTTTCCAGATTTAATGTGATCTTTTACTACTGAATCTTGAAAGTTTATTTGAGGTGATTTTTAAATGGTTTAAAAGTTATTGTCTTTATGTCTCTTGTCTGATTTTTGTTAAGGTTAGTTTTTAAAATCAAGTTTGGTAAGAAAGTGTTGGGAGGAGACAGTTTTATTGTTTTTTGTATTTTCCACGGATCTGCTGTCATTTATCTTCTATTACTTGTTAATAGTGGTCAACCCTCCTCTACTCTGTTGTTAAGAGTTGGCAGAAATTGGAAGGTGTCTGGGAAGAAGATTCCAAAGAGCAGCAGCCTTTCTGCCACAAAGCCAAGAGAAAAACACTATCTGAGAGACTACATTGGTGTGATGTGTTTACATAACTGGCTCTAATTCCCAAGATTAAATAGCTTAGAATTTCTTAAGAGAGTTCGCTTAAGAAAATCTTGCTTTTGTTCTCATATTTCCTTCTCCCCAACCCAACTAGTGTTTACATCTCCACACCAATATCTGACCAATAGAAATCACAAGCCTAAAATGTCCAAAATTGATCTCAACATCTCCCTCTCCAATACTGCTCTCTTGTATTCCCAGCCACGGTCAACAGTATCACCATCTCACTGGCTCTAGCCAAGCTCAAAACCTCAGAGTCATTCTCGACTCTTCTTTATCCCTCATTGCCCATTCCCCAGTCTTGTTCGTCTCCAATCCACTCTTCACATTATGGCTGCCAAAGTGCTCTTTCTAAAATGCAAATATGGTCACAGATATTCCTTGCTTTAATGACTCCTTTTCACCTACTGGATAAAATGAAAAGTCCTCTTTTGGTACCTGCATACCTCTCTAGCCCAACTCCCGGTCACCCCCTGCCATTTCCCTGAGCCCTTTATACTCCAATGACATGAACTGCTCACAAATAACCAAACACACCATTATCTTTCCTAATTGTGACTTTGCATGTGAAATTTCCCCTGCTACTTTCTCAGCTCAAGTTAGTAACTTTTCCTCATGTTCCAATAGCATATCCACATATTAGTTTTAGAACTGTGGTCACACTATACTGTAATTACTTCTTCACTTGTTTGTCTTCACTACCAAACTACCAGTTCCTTTTTGAAAAAAAGGTAAACATTATAGAGTAGTTTCAGACTCTGGATGCTTCTAGGTGGCATTTAAGCTAGCTTTGGATCCTGAGACAGTACACTATTCTCTAATGTTTGCTTCTTCTTGTCCCATCTCTCCCCCTCGTGGAGGTGTTGAGAAGCAGTGGCCAAAGATATGACAAAGCAGCTGGGCTGATCAATAGCCTGGATAAACATCTGCTTCTTATCATTTTTAAGCAAATGAAAATCTGACTAATGGGTCTTGAATTAGAGTTTCCTGTAAGAAGCTTTCTGTCTTATAATGTATCAGTTGCAGACCATGATTTCAATCCTTAGAGCTGTAGCTGGGGGTCAACACACACATTTCTCATGGTCTCAAAGAACATCACACTACTGTCAAATAGCCCAAAAGAAATAGTGGGTAGAGATTTTCTTCTTTGTTCTCTCCTCTTCCTGAAGCTGAGACAACCCTGTTTGCAGGAATGTTTGGATGATAATACCGTAGATCGAGGAATCAAATACCAATCACATCCACATAATAGGTATTCTCCTCAATTGCAGTGGGCCTTGCCTCCCCCCCAAAAAAAAGTCATAAGCAAAGTCTTCATCTCTATCCAGAGCAATATCCAGTTAGCATGCTTTCAATTGAAGATACCCTAGTCTTTGAATCAGTATTTAGTTGCCCACATGAGACAGGATATAGAATTTCTTAAGTATCATGGCCCTAGATATATTCTGGGTTGGTCTAACTGGTGATTCCCACAGAAGAACCTTGTCAAGCAGGTTATCGTCCTAGTTGGGAGGAATCTCACCTCTAAAAACAACAACGTTTTAGAAAACAATGAATTTATAATCATCATAGAAATTCTCCTTCATGGCTACTGTGAATTTTATCATATATATGTTTGTGCTACACTGAGATTTCTAGCAGCAAGAATGGATTTTAGTTTTAAGTGGGGGAAAGGAAATTAATATAATCTGTCATCAGGAGAAACCACCTTTAAAAAATCAAATAGTTCCCACAATGTCATTTTATACATATGTCAAAGGCAAGGAAAGAGGATCTGCTCTTAGGTGTCCAACTGGCTGTGTCCTGATTTGAAGAAAAAGAATTCAGGTGCTACCAAGGATAACATGAAATAAAACAGAAATAGAACTGGTGGGTGTGGCCCCTCTGATATTCTTAAGTTTCTATGTTCAGAGTAAAGATTATCCTGCCCACAAAATGGTCATTGATGACATCATTTATGATGCCTTTGCCCTTCAGTTGGCACTGCACAGGCACCGCTTGGTTCTTCACCACGTCTGTAAAGTGCATTGCCACCAGTGGGGAGGTGTAGTTAACCTGTAAATGGAAGAACAATTAATTCTAAGTGTGAAAAGGGGTGGCTGTGTGGGAGAGTGATAGGATGGAAGTGATCAGTGCAGGATGGGATAACCTCCAAAACAGAACTGAGTAAATCCCATGATTCTAAGACACAAATGGCTAAAGCAAATGACATGCTCTCTCTGCCCTCAGGCAGCGGGGAAATTACATATTTCTCTCATAAGTCACTGTCAGATGTCTGATTGTCCTCTGGGGAAAACCAATTCTAACTCAGTATGGTATGATTTCTTGGATATCAATCCATGAATCAAATGGGAACTATCTGTCAAGTCTCAATGTTAGAGAAGAAGCTTTCACTACCCGAAGGCCTCAAATGGGAGGAAGAGGGAAGTGAAATTGTTGGGCATAGTTTAGTGCAATGGCAGTGATTTGTTTGCTCCTGGCTGTCACAATGCTACAAGACATTGAGCAAATCACTTCCTCTCAGAACTCTAGTTTGTCTATCTGTAAACTGAGGGACTTAGACCACACTATATCTGAGACTCCTTTAGATATGGAAAGGAGTACTTATGATAGGAATTGGTAGAGTGGGCTCCTGGTCTTGGCCTGCAGCTATTCACCTTTCTGTTACTACTACCTACTCCCTAACTCTCATAGATCCCAGCCAGCTTTTCCTTTGCCTCTGAGCCCTTTTTGACAGCAAAGACAGAAGGGGATACAGGCTTACGTGAGTCATTTTGCCGTAGTAAGGGTAGTAGCGGAGGTCAAAAGAAGCCGACTCTGGATAGTAATTGATGGATCGGATGTCGTTTTCATCACCTCTCTGTAAGTAAAAGCAGGCATACATGGGGTGCTGGGTCACTTGGTTGGAGCCTGAGCTAAAGGAACCTATGCCCCAGGTGAAATCACTGTGAGACCCACAACCACCTCTCCCAAGAAGACCATGGAAGCAGAATGAAACAGAGCTCAACCCAGAACTACCCCCAGAGAAGCATTTCCAGGGAGAGATTGTGCCTTGGCTTTTCAGTTCAAAAAATACTGACTAGAAGGCCAGAACTTAGGAGGCTTGAAGGTGCTCAGTATGGCTCTGTGCTGGCTCCTAGGAGACCCAGACAGAAGAGCTCCAAGGGGCTTGAAGTACCTGGCGCTGCTCTGGCAAGAGGACTTACCAGGCGAGCCCTCCAAAAGAATCATATGGGCCTGGCTCCCGATGTTGGACTTGGGAGCTGAGGCAGCTGTAAGCTGGAACATGTTTATTAAATCCTACCCACAACAACTTACTCGTTGTGGATTTGGTTCTGTTGGAAGTCAGACCAGGTACACAGGGATACAGCCTATAGTTGGCTCACCTCAACTCACATTCTCTGTAGTGCTTAATTACAATAGGTGAAGTCAAGAGGATAAGTAAGTGGGGCCCAGTACTAGATTAAATAAACAAGTCTTCCCTCATTATATCATGCCAGGATTGCCCATTTTGCCTATGCATTAGTCTTGCTCTGAATAGCAGAAATCTGGGGGCTAATAAGGGACAAATTGTGTGTCACTACTAGGAAATCACTCTCTAGGCCATGTGATGACTTCTGTCAATATAGTATAATTGTTCTTAACATAAACAGCCTTCCTTAATGTATTCTAGTGATTACCTCATCCTGCTTGATTTCCATAAGTGGATGTAAATTGACCAGTATTGATTATTATAGAATGCATAAAGACCCTTAATATTTCTTTTTTTAAATAAAAAAAAAACATTTCAGCAAGGTTTGATGTAAGTTGAAAAATGAATGGCTTCCATTCAATTAATACACTACTCTCAGACATAGTTGGTCTTTTTTATTTATTTACATATTCTTTTAAAGGGATATGAAATTCATTTTTGTGAATGGTAGGTGGAATCAATTCTACTAGTTTATGGTCATGCCTTGCATGTGTATATATTTATTTACACATACTCACGTGCATGTGAGCAAAATTAATATTTTTCTACCTGTTCACCTGGCAAACACAGCCTGATTTTTCAAAGCTCATCTTCAGCTTCACCACCCTCCACATGAAATCAACCTTTCCCTAGTCAAGGCCCTCACTGCACCTTTCATAGCACCTATAATATTTGACTGTCCTGATTTCAGGGAGTTATATTTATCTTTGCACTCCCAACACTTAGCAAAGTACCTGATCTATAGTAAGTGATCAATAAATGCTGCCTTTAGTGCTTTCTGATCTGCCACCATCAAGACTAGGGTTTTGAGCTGTATGGCATTACCTGGCTTCACACAATTACAAAGCAATTGTCCAGGGCTTAGGGTACAGTTGGTGCTGTCAAACAGGAGGGAGCTACAGCCAATTTAAGAAGCAAATCCCAGATCTAGGGCTTTTTCTTACAAAGGAGCTAATTGGGGCAGATGAGATAGGAGTTAATGATCCCTCCAAGGACAGTTAATTAGCATATTAATGGAGTTCTGTTTACACTCCCTTGTAGTCATTTGTTATTGCAACACCAGTGCCCTGACCATTGCTACAAAAAGTGAAATTCAGTTATAAAAGCAGGGACTAATGACTCTAACAAAAGCTGTTTGTTTAGTTCAAAGAAACAAGTAATTAGAGCAAAAACCAAAAGTGTAAACAGAATCCCAATTAATGACTTGGCGCATTATTGTTCCCTGCTGTGGCCCTTAGCTGAGGTTCAGTCTTTGGCTTTCACAGGTAAAATCAGCGCACACACACACACACACACACCGCAAACACATAGGAAATTAATAGTTTCTGGAAATAGGGAAGTCTGAAGTTACTAAAGGGTGGTATAGTTTTGAAAAGTTTAACCCTTTCCCTAACTCGTAGTCAACCATCCATGGTAAAGCCTTGGAAGGTATGAGCCATCATTTTGCATGAAATAGATGTGCTAGCAATGCTTACTCAAAAAGTCACTTTACCTGAACTTTGCAGAAAACTTTCACAGGATCTCCAAGCTCAGGGCGAAAACCTACAATCTGTCAAAAGAAAATCAGAGTGTTAAAAAAAAAAAAGAAAGAAAGAAAGAAAGAAAGAAAGAAAGAAAGAAAGAAAGAAAGAAAGACACATTTGACAGTAAAAATGAGGCTTTTATAAATCCCCTCTGAGTCAACCCTTCCTAGGCATAAGCTTAATGTATTCTGCCCTCTCACAAATGATACAAAAAGTAAAAAATGTAAAATATCTTTAAAGCTGTGCAACTCAGCTTTCACCTTGTATTTGTGCCTGACATTCATAGAGTGGTAACTGCAGTAAGATAACCCTGAAGGTGTAAATAACTTTCTGGCTTTCAATAAGGGAGTGCATGGTAAGACTTTGCCACACCTCTAAGACATGGCAGGAGAGAAGAAAAATGCATTTATTGTGATATGGGAATTGTTCCTCACCCCACCCCATGTCAACTTTTTGTTCCAAACAACTCAGGATATCATTCCTGACAGAGAGCATCAAAGTGGGGAGGTTTGGGGGTGTGGGAGAAGAATGGAAACAGGGAATGTCCAAGGAGAAAAAAAAAAAAGAATTATTGCTTGATAGTTTGTCCGGTTGTTTATATTACTGGTGCTGTCAGTAAAAATGACAAAAATGGCAATGTGTGAAGACAGAGCCCAAGAGAAATGGAGTGTCCAAAGCCCTCCTACTTATAGCCAGCTTATCCACGTATAGCCAGAGTGTCAAGGACCAATATACCCGGTTCATCTTTAGAAGAATGCAGGGCTGTCCAGTAGAGTAGCCAAAAGTAGGGTCTTCCAGGCCAGAGCAATTCTTCAGGAAGGAGCGCTTAAATTGGCAGGCCTTCTTGTCCTCATCTTCATTTCCATCTTGGATGAAGTACTGCCCTGGAGGACAATCTATATTCATTTCCTCTTGAAGACTGTCATTATAACCTAAAGTGTGTGTGGGTAGCAAGGAGACATGTTAGATGGGTGCTATATGGGAAGACCATGTTTTCAGTAGTCCTCCTTCCTAGTTTCCTTTCTCCAGCTTGCTTTTGCTCCTCTAAAAGCCTGTTCAATCTGTCGTAGGCCTTGTGACATGCCCTTCATCAGCAACATGTCTCCAGGACACTTTCTAGGCTCAGCCCACTTTGATTGACTGCCCTCTCGCTTCCTCAGAACTTTTGGATATCCATCTCTGGGTCACTTTATAACTTCTACTTTTCATAATTTCTTTTCAAACATGGTAAATTTTAAATGTGGAACTCTACCTCTTCTACTTCTGGGAGAGGAATAGGTACATAGTAGGCAGATTTTGGAGGAGGGAATGGATCAGGTCAAGGCATGGCATATAAGAGGCAGCAAAGCTCCTGCGTTAAATCTCTTTAAGCTCAGCCTAGGAAACATATCTCTTTGAAGTTAATGAGAGGCACCTGATGCAAGAGAGAGAGAAGTGTGTGTTGTGAGACAGGTAAAGGGGGAGGAAGAAGAGGAGGAGAAGGAGGAGGAGGCGGAGGAAGAGAAGAAAATAAAAAGTTCCTCATTCTTTACAAAGAGAAGTTAGCACTGCAAAATAGAAGCTTAGGTTGAAAGTCAGAAGTCAATAACAACCATAGCATCTCCATTGAGAGGGTGAGGGGGTGAGATCTTGTCTACTGAGACCTGAATCAATGTGTCTCTTTACATTGAATGAAATGTAACATGTGTCCAAGGTACTCTTGTCCGGGAGAGATCTGAGCTGACTTTTTGGGTTACTAGATGTCATAGATCTAGGTTTTGGAAGTTACTGCATTAGTTCAAATTTGGTTCTAAATGATAATGTTAGTCCTGTTAGATCTAGTCCCTGTGCATTCATCTTCCAAGTAGCTCAGTTTTTCAGAGAAGATTGTGTATCTATAATCTACCAGAGGTAAGACTCCAAATGTACTGCTGGATCTTCATCTAGACATGTTGTAACCTGGGTTTGGTATTTTTAGGAAGCAACTGGGAATTTTAAATATATTCCAGTTATGGCTAAGCCTTTACTATTCCTCAGACAAAGCTACATTCAATTCAAGGTTTTGCTTTAATCATTTTTTTAGAGCAAGAACTATGTTCAGATGTAAATGGTTTGGCTCAATGGATAGAGTATCGGCCTGTGGACTGAAAGGTCCCGGGTTTGATTCCGGTCAAGAGCATGTACCTTGGTTGCAGGCACACCCCCAGTAGGGGCTGTGCAAGAGGCAGCTAGTAGATGATTCTCTCTCATCGATATTTCTAACTCTCTATCCCTCTCTCTTCCTCTCTGAAAAAATCAATAAAATATATTTTTAAATAAGATTTTTTAAAAAAGAACTATGTTCAAATAATAACTTTCTAAGTAAAAGCTCTAATCATGTGCTCATTGTTTCTCTTGAGGTAGTTCCATAAAAAATAATGTGACATGGGCATGACCCGTATTGCAAAATCCCAGTCCTCGTGGGAATGAAATTGATACTCTGGGATTTCTATTTCAGAGATGTGTTCCTTTTAAACAGGGCACATTATCTATGCTTAGAAACAACAATAACAACAACAACAACAACAACAAAATGCTTTTCTTAATGTTCCCCACCTCTATCATCAGGCCAGAAGTGGTATTTCTCCACCTACTAGCTTCTCAGGAGTTTCCAGAGATCCCAGCAGTACATTTGCAATAGCTCACAAGCATTTTGAAAGTAAAGAAGATATTGTGCTGGCTATGATGTCCAAGACATTTGAGGGGCCAAAAATTGAACTGCATGGACTCAGAAAGAACCCAGCCATTTGAAACTTAGAGTTACCCAAAATAACACCAGTATTACTGATACAATGCTGAGTTTCTAATTCTTAACTATATGCCAACAGCAAAGAATTATGAAAAGCAGCACTTCTCAAGCTTTAATGGTCATGCAAAGTGACCTGTAGATCTTGTTAAAATGCAGGTCCTGATTCAACAGGTCTGGGGTGGGCCTGAGATTCTGCCTTTCTAACAAACTCCCAGGTGATGCTTATGTAACTGGTCCCTGGATTACACTTTGAGTACCAAGGGTGTCAAGAACACGGATGTGGGTTTAAACACTGGTTCTGCTAGGAGACTTTGATCATGTTGCTCCTCATTTCTGAGCGGCAGTTTTCACATTTGTAAAATGAGACAATACACTCTGCTATGCAGGGTTAAAATTAAATGACAAAATTTATTCATTTAATGAACACTTCCTATCACATAAGAAATTGTTTTCCTCTTAATTCAGTGCACATTCTACTGGCCACTCCCACTTCACCCCCTCCCATTTCAGCCAGGCCAGGCCAACGAAATTAGTCTAACTGGATTTTCTCTCAGAAATCACAGGTCAACTCACTAGAGCTCCTCTTTCCTAGATGGATAAATACAGAGGTTATGTGCTCTGTTCAACTCTAACCAAGCTGCTACCTCAGTTTTCACCCTGTGGAAGGGCTTTTCAAAAAGCCATTCATTAGTTACTGAAAATGTATATGATGACACTACAGACATAAACATCTTGAAAATACTTCTGATTAAAATGTAGGAGTGACTGTCACCCAGAGTTTTTTTTTTTCTTTCTTTTTTTTCTCTCTAACTCCCTCTGGAATGCTGTTAAATAAAGACCCTTGCTTGCTTTCTTCAAGATGGCCCATCTCCAAGAAATGAATTATCTTACCTTGAGAAAGTGTAGGAGATAGAGACCTTCCAGTTCTGGAGAACATTCTTCTTTTCTCACCACTACCCTCCCCCCAAATTATATTTTAATAATTGATCATTATTGAGCCGTTTGGATGTGCCCAAGTCATAAGTAGGTGCTATAGGGTGTTAAATAAGACAGGTTCTCTGCCTCAATTGACTTATCAGATTGCTGGAAAGTTGGCTTATATGTTTTCAAGGAAACATACAACCATAAATTAGAGCAGTTTTGAATGTATCTACAGGTTCTGAGGGAGATGCAAGGTAAGAAAAGATCAGGATGGGCTGGGATTAGTAAGAGTAGGTCAGGTGAATTTTTAATTCCCACCCAGAACCTTTCCAAAGAGATTTGCACCATTCAGAGGAATTTACTTACCCTGGAGAAAGCCATTTAGGCTAATCACATAATGCTGCCAAGTGTCAGGTTCAGAAACGTTGAAGTTGAAGTTAAGGCTATGGGCGAAGGGTCTGATCATAACTCCTGGCAATGAAAACAGGTCTTGGATATATTAACCCATTTTTGGGATAATTTTTTTGTATTGATTCCCATGAAACCATTTCCCCCCAGGCAATCAAAATGAAAAGGATCATAATTTGCCAAGTACCAATTTACTTTTACTCTTAATAATTGAATCACTAAGTCATTACTGGGAAGAGCCAAAGTTAATTGAGGCTGAACTTGCTGTGCAAGCAGATTTCTGTCCAGCAAGTTCTGATAACACAGGGCATTTGGGCACTCACCAGGAGGCTTCACCCTTTCAGTGAATGTTGGCATGTAAGGACCGATGGTCAGAAATAGCGTGTACATGCAGAGGGTGATCACAGCAGCCAGGGAGGCGTAGAAGAAGAAGTAAATGACTAAGATCAAGCCTGCAGAACAATCAGAGATGAAAGTGGTCAGTGCTTGCCAACAGATTCTGCATCCTCAATTGAATTTATGACCCAGAACCAACCCAAACATATGAGATGTGGTTTTTTGCTTGTTTGTTTGTTTTGCCCCAGATTCAATATATCCTTCCTTGCTCATTTAGATTTCAAAAATTTGGAATTGGTGAGAATTGTGTCTTTGATGGAAGGGCTTGCTGAGTAAATTGCTTAGGAGTTCTCTGGGCAACAGTTGATGTCCTAGGCACAAATCATTCTTCACTATTCATCAAAGCAGGTGCCCTGAAGAGTCTTAGAAGCTTGGTTCCAGTGATTACATGTATTTACAATGGATGGAAACAGCATTTATTTTCACATAGCCTATAAATCAAACTTTTGATTAATTTCCATGGGATTTCCCCTAATCAAGGTAAATTGAGGTTTCACCCTACTTATTTTATATCTTATTCATCTTTAGCAAAAGTTTAAGTGGCTCTGCTTTTCAAAAAGAATACTAACACAAGACAGGAAAGGGAAGAGTAGGAAACTATCCTTAATTATTGACACTTGCTACCTGTGAGTTCTACCTGTGAGCTTGGGCAAATTACAGAACCTCTCTAAACCCAAGATTCCTCATAGGTAAAATGGGAATAAGGTTAGCACTTACCTCATATCCTTCTTCATATTTGTATCAGTACAGTAGTCCCCACTTATCCACAGTTTTGCTTTCTGTGGTTTTAGTTACCCACGGCCAACACCATGGTCCAAAGATATTAAATGGAAAATTCCCAAAATAAAAATTCATAAGTTTTAAATTGTGCGCCATTCTGAGTAACATGATGAAATCTCACACCATTCGGCTCCATCCTGCCCAGGACATGAATCATCCCTTTGTCCAAGCTGTCCATGCTGTATATGGTACCCACTCATTAGTCACTTATTAGCTGTGTTGGTTATCAGATCATCTGTCATAGTATCACAGTGCTTGTGTTCAAGTCACCCTTATCTTACTAATAATAGACACACATGTAAATTGACCATACTTCTTCTACACCACCAGCCAATCAGGAGTGATCTGCAAATTAACCCAACAAAGATGGTAGTTAATTTGCATACAAAGGCCCCGAGTGATGGGGGTGGGACACTTGCATCATCGCCATGGCAACGATGCAGGTGTTCTGACCCACCCGAGTCTCTCAGGGTCTCTGGGCAGCGTGGGGCCAAAGTGGAAAGGCGGTGCCAGCAGCCAGGGAAAGGAAAGCCAATCTTCATGTATCAGGCTTCTAGCACCAATCTTCATGTATCAGGCTTCTAGTTTTATTTAATAATGCCACATTCACATAACTTTTATTATAGTATACTATTATAATTGTTCCATTTTATTATTAGTAATTGTTACTATGCTTAATTTAAAAATTAAACTTTATCATAGGTATGTATGTACAGGAAAAATTTTAGTATATGTAGGGTTCACATCCACTGGGGGTCTTAGAATGTATCCCCTGAAGATAAGGGGGACTACTGTATCTGAAATTCACTCTTTCCTTATATCTTATCCTGACCTTACTACTTCCTAACTATTTAATCTTAGACATCTGAACCTCAATTTTCTCATATGTAGAATGATGACAATAATAGCACTTGAATAATGCACATAAATAGCATAGCACTGCCTGGCAGATACCAAGTATTCTATAAAGAGCAGTCTTCATCATTACTATTATTAATATTATTATTACTATAGGACCAGAAGCATAACTGTGTGAATTCCTCCTCTGTGGCCAATATTAGAATTAAATTTGCAGGGTTAGGCAGCACAGAGTAAGGTAAATAAGAGTGAAATTGTTGCTGAGAAGCTCTTTCCAAATCCTCCTTGGGCTCTTTCAGCCAACAATATCTGGCTCTGCTCATAACGGAGACATGATGTTGGAACTACACATTTGAACTGAATCATGACCCAGAAACTGGAACAAACCATACAACTTTGCTATACCAAAATCCAATTCCAAATATTAATTTTTTAATTGAACCGTGAACCAAAAAATTAACCAAAAATGATTGGAAAAGAAGAAAAAAATCCTTAGTAATTCAACTAGAAATGGAACGTTTATGCTTTATAAAATAAACTAAAGCACAACTGGAACATGAATGCATTGATTCAGCTGGAGTCCCTGGAGAAGAAATAGCAACACCTGTGTGCCTATGATACTTGGCTACTGACCGGTGGCTGTACTAATAGGATGTGCCCTATGCCATCTCTTCCATTCCTTTACCCTCATCCCCATCCTAGGATGGATCAACAGCTGAAGCCATGCTCAAGGACTGGAATACTTAGTTTCATGGATGAAAGGAATGCAATAGAATACAGGTAAACTCCCTTGGAAACATCTTCCTTCCTGCCTACGATGTGTAGCCAGGAAGCTGTAGATGGGAGAATGGCACTAGTAATGAGTCCTCTCAGCCTTAACCAGGAGTCTGTGCCCTGGAATCTCAGCCACAGGCAAAACCAAACACTATACCCATCTGAACTCATTGACCCCATCAACCCTTTATACTCTGGACATCCAAGTTTTAATTGGCCACTCCTGTAGGTAATCCAAGGCTCTCTTCTGAATGCTCCACACAAACATGGGTAGACCTGGACATCTTGGATAGACTAGGTACCCATAATCACAACTCTTCACTCCTCCCACCAAAACCCCCTCATCAATTCCTGAGGCTCTACCCATTAGGGCCTTGCTCATTGCTACAGTTCATGAAGATGGTTCAGTATTCTGGCAAGAGAATGAACCCTAGTATTCATCCAATCTGGGTTTGACTCCCAGTACTGCCATGTAGAGAGCGCCTGTGAAGGCACACGGGCATTTCTTTATTGTCAGCTGAATCCAGTGGTGTCGGCAAAGCCATATCCTGGAATCACGATTTTCCCCAGGTGCCAGGGTTTTGTTATTTAAACCCAGCCAAGCACCAGGAATGAATATGACTTGGGGCCCACACAAGAATGCACATAATCTCCTTTGTCTTGACTTTTAGTAAAACTTCTCATTTTTTTGCTGTATAAAATAAACACCCTGTATTGGCTCAGAGTCACTATCTCTGTCCCTGTCCATGTCAGAGGACAGTGGTCCCGCTCGGTCCTGGCTTTTTCTTTCTATCTCTGTGTCTGCCTCTTCCTTTCATTTTCTCAATCCCCAGCCACCCCTACTCAGGAACTGGACTGCTCTCTAGCCATGCTGGACACAGAAAAGAGAGAAATATTTACACTGCCACTTATTAACTCTGTCACTTTAAACAAATTACTTACCCTCTCTAAGCCTGTTTCTGCATCTGTAAAATGGGGATAATATCACTACCTCAAATGGTTTTTATCAGTATCCAATGAAATAATATGTAGTTCCTGAGAATAGAGCTTGCCCAGCTACCAAAAGAATAGTTCATCTAAAACCCTAATATGCAAAAAGACCAAACAGTGGAACAACTGAACAACTGAATAACCAATCACTATGACATGCACTGACCACCCAGGGGTGCACGTGGAACATGATGGGCATCTGCAGCAGGCAGCAGAACACGGAAGATGGCAGGTGTCGGCCTCAGTGGGGTGGTGGAACAGGTGAGCAGGAGCGCCAGACCAAGGCGGGGTGCAGGTCACTGTCATGGGGTGGGCATCTGGGAGTTACTGAAAATTCTTTTGTTCCCCTGTGCCACAGTCCCTCCTGGTGCTTGTACCTGCTGGCCCCACTCCCACCTGTTGCGCCAGCCCCAATCACTCTGCAGGTTCAGCAGGAGTGAGTGGGGCTGGCACTGTTAGCATGTGGGAGCGGTGGCGGCAAGAGTGGGATTGCAGGCAGACAGAGGACCAGTGGCTGCAGTGTGAGGGTCCAGATGGGGGCAAGGAGAATGGGCCAAGACCCGTCCCTGTGCCCACCACAGCCTCGAGATCCACAGTTCCTTTTAAGGTGCACAACTTCATGCACTGGGCCTCTGGTACTAGTGGGTGATTATGTTGGTCATGTTTCTGTACAAGCTCAAGTGGACACCTAGTTCTCAAGCAAGAGGGCAGTAAGGCATATGCTTGGTGGCAAAAACATTAGGATCACTATTTTCCCTTAGCTCAGGGGTAGCTGAACAAAAGAAGCCAGAACTCCTGGACTGTCCTTAGACCTGCACCCAGAGGCCTAGATAGGACCTACTGTGCAGTGTCCCCATTGCCATATCTTCCCTGGGCTCTTGTACCTTCCTCCCTCATCCCTACTTACTGGCCTATCACTTGTTCTTCACAGGAGCAATTTGAATAAGCTCATCTGATTAAGTTCCAATTGCTGGCTACTTGGGGGTTAATGTAGGGCACCCTCTCCCAGAGTCACACTTGCTTTTCACAAGGCCTGATTTTCCAGTCCTCTTTAGGCAAGGAAGAAACAGCTGTGCCCCCTTTTGAGCCCCAATGAGTGTCCAGCATTTGTTTGCAACTTCAGAATGTTGGAATGTTCCCTGAATGATACATTTGTTCCAGTAGAGCGTTTGAGGGATGTACAGAGGTGGGGTTGAGAACTGAGGAAGGGTGAAGGGAGGTAGATGTTGTTTAGAGTCCCACACTTGCTATTCCTAATTCCAGGAAGCAGGACTAGCTTCACCCTGACTGCACCCTCATTGAACTGAATTAGAAACATAAATGATGAGGGAGAGAATTCTCAGCCAAAGGGCCTCTAGAAGTCATGACCATCAACTTCAGCAACCTTGGCACTAGGGAACTCTTATTTCATCCATGGTGTCCTCTATTTTTTTTTCTTCTCCAAACCAGCAGCTGCTCTTTTTCTGGGCTGCACAGAACAGTGTGGCAAGTGTGAATTTGACCACAGGCAAAATCTCCTGAGGAGAAGGCTCAGCACTAATAGTTTAAGAGGTGAGTAAGACCCTGGGAGAGAAGTGCTGGGGAAGTTGTGAAGTGGAAGTGGTGGCAGCATGTTGTACAAAGAGGAAATAGTAAAAATGTGACTCCTCTATTAATCAAGTGATTTGGGGGCTCAACCTTAATCTCTAGAAATTATCCTTTCAAACATAATTTCTCTGTGTACATCATGGGAGTGTAAACCACCAAAAAGCTGGGTTTAGGGGCAGGCTTCTTTACTCTTTCTCTGACATTTCTAGGTGAAATTATGAGGCTTTATAAATCCTTGCTCAGGTTAGCAGGGATTTGAGTATCATATCCTCGAAGTAGTTTTCAGAGTACTTTCAACTTTACAATGATAACATCTTGTTGGAGCCTCAGGCTGATCCTGTGAGAAAGACAAGAAAAGGATTGTTCATTTGCTGGGTGAGGAAACTGAGGTTCAGTGAGGGTAAATGTAAACCCAAGGTCACACAGATGGAAGGTGACAGAGTTGGGACTTTAAAAAATGTCTGTGCTTTCCAATTCATTCTTACTGTCTCTCTGCATTGCAAATGTTTTTGAACCCAGTGGATTTCAGCCTTACAGTCAATTTTGTTCACCCAGTTGGAGTTTGTTCTGATGGCATCTGCCCATAGTCCAGACATATCCCTAAGCATTGATCCTTTTACATGATACCTAAGAAAAGTTTGCAGACAAGCCCATCCAACATATGGTAAACAAGTCCTGTACACCAAGCCAAAAGGAAAGGACATTTTAGTGGGGGACTGGGACAACTGGGACTTACTCCAACTCTGACCTGTTCGGGCCAGAGACATCCTTTTCTCTGGATCCCACAGGTACTCATTCATGATCTGCAATTTCCGCCACCAGGTGTTGCTTGTTGGCTGACCCTGACCCTCTTCCTCATTCTTTTCCTCCTCTTCTTTCACCTCATCTTCCTCCTCCTCTTCTTCCAAATTGTGTACCACCATCACTCGAGCCTCTTCTTCTGCTTCTTCCTCTTCATCTGCTAAGTAATTCTGATTCACTTCATCCTGATCATCCTGGAACAACCACAAAACACAATCCCCCTCTTTGAAAAAAATGTCCAGTGGCACAGTCCATCAGCCAAAATAAATGGAAAACAACTTAATATTTGGAGATGCTTCAAATTTCCACTTCCCCATAAACATACCCATTGTTACAAGAGATATTTTCTTTCTCTCTGTTGTTTTGAAAGAAATATCCTTTCTATGACCATTTTGATTCAATATTCTTTCCATAGATGTATAAGTATTATTCCCGCTTTAGATATTTGGGCTCTTCCTCCAGGACTGCTTGTGTCATTACTCTGTCCTGGGGCCTTGGCCTCCTGCTTTCTTTGTCTGGATTGTCAGGACAGAGCTGAGCTCAATGCTGGAGGATGGAGTAGTTTTAGACATTTGTGTCTATGATGGTAAATTATCAGTCCAAACTAGCTTTATTTTAACACCCTGTACACTTTCAGCTGCTCCACCTCACCATCCCAAGTTGTGGCTAAAAATAGCCTTGGATAGACATCAAGTGGAGAGGCCAACTGCTATACCCCTTCTCAAAATGTAGACTGCCTTACCAACTCCCAGCAGAAACAAGTGATGGGGGTGGGGGTTTCTATTTGCTGCTTCTCTGTCTGCTACTAGGTCTGGAATTTCTTTCTATCTTAAGCTGGTTTAAAACCTGAGGGCTAGTACCCCAACTGACACTTCCTTAGTCTCCCTCCTCCCAAACCCCATACACTAGGCAAAAATCTGGGCATGTAGTAAGTGCTCGGCACATATTCGTTGATTGACTGATTGCCATTACTTGAGATGTGAAACTATAATATTCTCTGAGTGGTTCTAAGGGGAAAAAAACCAGACTTCACCAAATGGTATTTAAAATGCCTCCCAGCAACAGGCCAGAGAGTTGGATCTTTGTTCTCTGTGGATCTGCCAAGGCTCATTGCAGCAGCAGAAAATGAGGTCGCCCTCCCTTCTCTCTAACTGTCCAAATCTGCAGAGTGGCGGGGCCTGTGCACCTGTTGGGGTTGGATGTGTTGAATGATAGAGGCCAGGGGCTCCATGCTGCCCCCTCCCTGCTCAATTCCTCAAAGGCCACTTAGAGGACACTCAATTCTGCCATTCATGGGGAGGGGCCTCAGAAAATTAGATTGTTCAGAATCAATAAAAGTGATATAGAATGATAAGGCTCTACTCAGCATTCAGTCTGCCCAGCCCTATCTAACTCTTGATTATAAGCACTCTGGAATTACTCCCTAATTTGTTCAAATATGCAGCTTTATATCACACACTATATAAAAAATGATAGTAACCTTGTCCATCTGAGGCTCAAAGAGGGAACAGGCTCTAAATAGAACCACCTAGCAAGTTCATGATAGAATTGTCAGTCCCAGAACTTTTATCTCCTGATACCCTAGACAATAATGTTTCTCCTCCATCACATTGAGCACAAGTGCCTAAAGGTAATTTAGCAGATTTATGGAGAACAATAATATGTTAGATTCTATGTTCCCAAAATATAGTAGGTACTTATAACTGAGGATTTCTGACTCTGACATGGACTTACACTGTAAGGCTTAGGAAAATAAACTCCATTATTCAATGTTGAATGGATTAAGAAAGTTCTTATATCTCACTTGGGGTGAACATATGTACACATTTGACCTCCCAAAATGTATTCTGAGCACCAGGGGCCAGTGTCTATATTCTAACACCTCGATGGTCTTAAGTCCACAGCTAGGTAACCTGTGGGTACTTAATAAATATTAATAACAACTGCCTGACTCTGGGGAAATGTTTTCACAGAGCTTTCACTCTAACCTCAACAGTCATGTAGACTGCAGTGGGTAGTCATCATAGCCCCCACAGAATCTACTGCAACTGAAAATCTCATAGAATTTAAAATGTAACATTTCATTACGGGGGAATTTATATTCCCTTTATATTTTCTGAACAACTTCCTTTTCTCTCCTTGTGCCTTTATGCCAGCCCTCCACCTCTGCTCCACAGAGGAGGCAGCTGGCCTTGACCTCAGCCTGATCTTATTTGTAGATATGAGCTCTCATTATAATCCTATTAAAGATGGCTTGTCATTAGAGCTTTACCCTCGAGGGAAGAATTAACCTTCTCAGAGCTGATTTCCCCATGGCTCTCAAGATGCCTCAGTATCAAGAACCTCAAATATCTTTTCTTACTCCCCTGTTTCTAGGTACAGGGGAACCTCATTATGTGGAAGAGAGGTGCTTTTGTGCAACTATTTAACGGTATCCAATAAGGAATCCTTTGGTAATGAGAGGGTCTGCTTTTGTCAGTTTCCTAAAGTGGCACTGCCCTCATGTGATAGTGTGAATGTGCTGGGATATAATAGTGGGTGTGTGCTGGGGCCATCATGTTGCCCTAAAAGGAAAGAGTCTGAAGGACAGAGGGTGGCTCCATTTTGAGAATTCTAAATATATAAACATATAAACAAATATATAAACAAGCAGTATGACCCAAAGGATAAATTTGTGTCCTGCATTGGGTAATACCCTGTAAACATTTGAACAATAGCCTGGGGTAGGGCAGGGGCTGGGTGTAGGGGGGCAAAAGGGGAAAATGGAGGGCATCTGTAATACTGTTAATTATAGAAATAAATTTTTAAAATTATTTGTTAATTTTCAAAGAGAAATTAGCACACAATTATTCACTGCATCAAATAATTTTAAAATTTTTAAAAATTTAAATTTGATTGTGTTCTTTATAAAGAGCAAGATCCCCTGATGCATTGAAAATCCAAATTGGAACAAAACAGAAACAGACTCATAGATACAGAGAACAGACTGATGCTTGACAGTAGGGCAGGGTATTGAGGGACTGGGAATAAAAGGTGAAGGAATTGGGATTAAGAAGTATGAATTGGTAGTTACAGAATAGTCACAGAGATGTAAATTATAGCATAGAGAATATAGTCAATAATATCATAATAACTATGTATGGGACCAGATAGATAATGGAAATATCAAGGAACCACTCTGTAAAGTACATGACTATCTAACCACTATGTTGTACATATGAAACTAATACAGAAAATAGTTAATGTAAATTGTAATTGAAAAATTAAAATAATAAACAAGAAGAAAATACAAACCAGTTGACAAATCATCAAAATTACACAGAAAAGAAGTCAAATAAGGAACAGTTATATATGTCCTACAGATTGTGACTGCTGTAAGAGCTGGAAGGAATTTTGAGATGTCAAAAGAAAGATTTACAAATTGTAGCTGGAAAGTTAAGGGAAGCCCCTTTTAGGTGCATATAAGATTACAATACTTTGTTTTCCTCTGTTGGTTGTTTTTACTTAACTCCCTGATTATATAAATGGTGATTCCCAAAGAAAAATGGATTAAGCTTTATTCCCTCCTGGGGCTCAGATAGAAATCCTCTGGGGGGGGAGGGAGATTTCAGAATAAACCCCTCTTCAAACAAGTACTGTGTGTGGCATGTATTAATGAATTATAACAAAGTAAATGTAAAAAAAACTTTGGGTTCAAAAAATATGCAATGCACTCTGGTGATAAATGTTGGCATCAAGTGTGTGTGTGTGTGTGTGTGTGTGTGTGTGTGTGTGTGTGTGTGTGTGAGGTTGGGATAACAGGCAGGATGGCAATGGGTGGTGGGGGGTCACAGGGTTGGGTAATTGCATATTGCAAGTATAATGGAAAGAGCACAAGATTAGAAGTGAGAAAACTTGCATTTTCACCTTGGCACTTCCACTAATTTTCAATCACTCTTGTACTCTGAGCCCCAGTAGCCTTTTCTACATAATGAGGGGTTCTAGAGAAATGATGTTTGGGATTACTACCAGCTTCTATCTAGGATTCTATGATTTTAGCTATAGTTTGGAATCTCTTTAAAAGAAATTTAGTAAAAGAGCAGCTGGGTTTCTAAGAAGCTACCACCAAAAGGGACCGAGACAGCTGAGTAGGCAGTGCCTTTCATTTCCTCTTCCCCTTCCCCTTCCCCTCTCTCTTGGTTAAATTTCCTGCTAGCAGAATGAAACCTTTACTCCCAGACTCCAAAATGTTTATTCTAATTCTAAGCTCTCAAGAAAAATTTCCTCTCATTATCTAGCATCTTCCCCTTCCCTTATCTCTCTTCCTTAGGAAGAGAGGCTTCCTCTTTCAACCCAGAAATTTAAGGTAAAATGGAATGCTGGGAGCCACTGCTGGCTCTTGAAATTATGTGCTTCCTTAAACTTCACTGTTCCTGCCATCCCAAAGAGAAGAAGCCACAAGCCAAGACATACACAACCCTCACCCACCCCACTAAAAAGAAGCAGCAAAGTATTTTGTTCCCTGGGACTCACAAGTCTGTAGCGATAACTGTGAGGAAAGACTGGAGCCCGTCTGGACCGGAGCTGCCTCCTCATAGCTGTTCAGTGGGCAAAGGCAAAGCAGAGTCAGGCAAGTGGGTGAGAGTCCTGGAGCTTCTGCAGGAGACACTGGTTGCTGGGGCCACTTGCTGCTTAGTAAAAGTGAACCCTCCTGGCATAAGTCCTTCCCCAAAATAATCTAACATGCCCCTCTCTCATTGGTTGGCCCCTTCCCTGAATCAAAGGAAAGCCCTATGGAAAAGCAAGCTCATCATTACAGGGAGGGGGAGATATTCTAGGTCACAAGGATGAGCAACTCACCTCCCCCCAATTCATGTCTCTTCCCACCCCCTGCCCTTCTCTAGTGCCTGAGATACTTATGGGCCCAATGAAAATCTTGAATTGTGTTCTTCTCAATTGAGAGTTGGATATCAGTGTGTGCAGGAGGTGGGGCATGAGTGGGAGTTGGGGGTGAAGGGAGATGACCAAGAATAACTTTCTTTTTTCATAAGGCTGATCTCATGCAAAAGGATCTAGGGTGTCAGGAAAGATTCCCTTTGCTCTCCCCATCCCACACACACCAAGCCACTTACAATATTTATCCATGTCAACCCAGGAGCTCCTGAAAATGTAGATTATGGGTCCTGATTTTAGAAGCCAGGCTTTACTTTTACCCCTCCCCACACCAGACGGTCTTGGACATAAAGAAGCCTTTTTCTAGACCACATGTCAGAAAGGCCCCATCAGTCACTGCCCCTCACACACACATCCATTGGAATCCTGGCCAAATTTCTGTAGTGGTTGAGATCTATATTTATCCCTTAGCATCGGGACAGGGAACAAGCCAGAACTTTGCAGTGTCAGTTTCCCAGACATACATAACTCTTGAAGCCAAAGTGGGATCCAACAAAAGAAAAATTATAGAAACAGTGTATAGCATTTTTGGCTGTTTGATCCACCCCACTGGAATTTGGGTGGCTAAAAGGCCTGGGTAGAGTTTGTAATCCTCTCTTCACAAATTACTCCCTCTTTCTCCCCATTATACCCAGATGACTAAGAATATTGCAGATACTGATATTCTGGGCAGATTCATAACCAAGAAAAATAACACAATACCTTGAGTAGATTTCTCTATCTATTCATAATTCCAACTCTAGGCTATCTGGATGCAGATAAGTTTGGTAGTGGTTAATTTAAAATAAAGACTTCATTTACTAGATTGTTACTAATTGGTACTTTTCCTTAGAATCCCATACCTTTATTTGAAGAGAGGCCACTAAAAAACTAAAAGAAACTCATTCCTCTTTTTAGATTTTAATAAAAGCAAATGTATTCCAAGGGATAACCTGATCTCAGTAGATACCAAGTTCTACCTTTTATACTTTCTCCACTTGAGACTTTTGTGCAATTCCTGATATTAAATGTGCGAACCCTTGGAAGCAAAAAAAAAAAAAAAAAAAAAAAAAAAAAAAAAAAAAAAAAAAAAAAAAGCCCAGCTGGCATGGCTCAGTGGTTGAGTGACGACCTATGAACCAGCAGGTCACAGTTCAATTTCCAGTCAGTACACATGCCCAGCTTTCCAGTTTGATTCCTAGTATGGGGCATACAGAAGGCAGCCAATCAATAATTCTTTCTCTCTTTCCCTCCCTCCCTCTCTTCTTCTTTGAAATAAATAAAAAAATAAAACACAAACAATAGCCTAGTTAACTGGTCTTATCTTACTAACGCAAAAAAAGAAAGTATAGCAATGTTAGTAAGATTTCATAAATCAAGCGTGGGAGGCAGCACTATTTACAATATTGGAGTTATGGAAACAGCCTAAGTGTCTGTCTACAGATGAATGGATAAAAAGAATGTGGCATATTATTCAGCCAAGAGAAAGAAGGAAATCTTGCCATTGGTGACAATATGGACAGACCTTGAGGGCATTATGCTAAGTGAAATAAGTCATACTGAAAGAGATAAATACTGTATGATCTCACATATGGAATTCTAAAAAACCAAACTCATAGAAACAGAGAGTAGAATAGTGATTACCAGAGGTTGGGAGTAGGAGAACTGGGGATATGTTGCTCAAAAGGTACAAACTTTTACCCCTGGCTGTGTGTCTCAGTTGATTGGAGCATCATCCCATACACTGAAGGTTCTTGGGTTCAATTCCCTGTCAGGACACATACCCAGGTTGAGGGTTCAATCCCTGGTCAGGTGGGTATGGGAGGAAACCGATTATGTTTCTCTCACACATCCATATTTCTCTCTCTTTCTTTCTCTCTTCCCCTCTATCTTCCTCTCTCTCTAAAATCAATAAAAACATATCCTTGGGCGAGGATTGAAAATAATAAAAATAAGTATATCAGATCACATTGTACATATTAAACTTACACAATATTATATGTCCACTAGAGGCCCAGTGTATGAAATTCGTGCAGGGGGGTCCCCTCAGCCCAGCCTGCACTCTCTCCAAACCAGGACCCCTCGGTGAATGACCAACTGCCAGGATGATCCTGGGGATCGGGCCTAAACTGGCATTTGGACATCCCACTCACAATCCTGGACTGCTGGCTCCTAATCACTCACTTGCCTGCCTTCTTGGTCACCCCTAACAACCCCCAACTACCCCTCTCTGCTGGCCTGGTAGCCCCCAACTGCTCCTTCTGCCAGCCTGGTCACCCCTCGTGGCGCCCCTAGGCCTGGTTGTTTCATGCAGTCTGCTATGAGTCATTTGGTTGTCCCTCACTAACCCCCCCGCTGGCCTGGTTGTGGGCAGTCATCGTGTGAGGGCATCATGGTCAATTTGCATATTACCTCTTTATTATATAGGATTATATCTCAATAAATCAGGGGGGGGGGAACCAAGGGTGAGAAGATAAAAGGGAACTTGGAACAATGACCTCAGGTAACAAAATATTTCATTCTCCAAAATCTCTTGTTCCCTAGCATTCTGAATAATTTGAGGCTTGCTATTATATATACTTAATATATTTGTAATGTATTTTGACTACAGCCCAGGCTGCCTTCTGGAATGGAATGACAGTTGAGTGGGATAAAATAAAGAAATCCCAAAGGATCTCAAAGACAGAAACCTTTATGAATTCACAGGGGGGGGGGGGGGGCGCGGAATCTAGCTAAGGGAGAAATCAATCCCACTAATTTGCGGGGAATGCAATCTGATTGACAGTGCAGCAGATTGGAGACAGAGTGACCAATGGGAACATAATGCAGGAGTGGCTATAGAGGCAAGAGAGTAGGGAGAAAGGAGAAGCTTTGAATATGACAGTAGGTTCAAAGGCAAATGATTCAAGTCTCTAAAACTATATGCCCAGTCCTTGGGCACAAGTATTAGCAGCTGCTTCTATAAGTCCCCTTTCCTGTTTGCACTAGGATAGTACATAGTTGCTGCCCAAGCCGGTTTTGTTCAGTGGATAGAGCATCAGCCTGTGGACTGAAGGGTACTAAATTCAATTCTGGTCACAGGCACATACCTTGGTTGCAGGTTCACTGGTCTGATCCAGGGTTTGTGCAGGAGGCAACCAATCGGTGTATTTCTCTCACATCAATGTTTCTCTCTGTCTTTCCCTCTCTCTTCCACTCTCTAAAAATCAATAGAAAAATATCCTTAGATGATGATTAACAATCGTCCCCTTTCCCCCCCCCCCCCCCGAAAACTACTTGGTTGCTGATGTGGAACAGAAACAATCTAATGGATTGGGTCCTCCTGTTCCCAAAGGAAGGAAGAGATGGTAGCACTCTTCAGAGAATCTTTGTCTCTACCCTGAGATGGCATCTGTTCTGGTGGATTATTTCCACAATTGTGTGAGGTGGGAGGGGAGAATGTGTCCTAGAGCCATCGAAGAGCAGTTTTGTACTTTCTTTACCTAGGGATTGGCTAAATCTTCATGGAGTCTCTGGAAGATCATGTGTAGTGGAACTTAAAAGTTGTTTGCCATTGGAGTTACCCAGTCATTGCTGAGTGCTGTCTAGAACACCAATCCCTTCCAGCATTCATGGCCTAGTGGACTTTGAAGTCATGGATGAGGAAACTCCAGGCTGGCCTAGGGTCTGAGGCTGCCTGTG